TGATCAAATACATATTCCACATTTATTTGGACAGCAGTAACAAGTAGGTAGTCAATTTCTTGGTGGGGAAAAAAAGCAGGATTGATGTTGCTAAAATAGAATGGTCCTGCTCATAAGAGCTTACAATCTAAAAGATTATACTTCTAATGAACTATGCTTTCACAGGTTACAGCAGGAAACAAACGGTTAATATGAATCACTTAGTAGGCTTATCCAAAAAACAGGCTGCAGATCAAAATATCAATATAAAAATACATACGTGCCAAAATAAGACACCTCCCACCTCCCCAAATTCCCCACACATACATTTCTCATCAGGTTTGTCCGAAAACTGCATTTCAGTCTAAATAAGCAAGCAAACTATAGCCAAGTGCAGATTTGGAAGAGCAGAGCAATTAACATGTGTTAGGATTACAATGTAAAGATAATAAACACACAACCATTGTACAATAACACACAATCACACCTTAGAAGGAAAAAAATGCAAAACATTTACATCCCACATCAAAACACAGCGTGAGTGTGGTCTGGGGCAATTCACCACAATATCTCTTCCTCCCCAAACCACCACAGCCAAGGACTTGCTGAAAATAATCTGGCCTATTATAAGAAAAAATCACCCACTACTACAACTCTTTATATAATATAGACCACACCCACCACTGTCATTCATTTGGTCAGAGAAAGTGTTTTCACCTGATGAATTCCCTTCCCACCTGCGTTAACCCATGGTATACAGGCCCCACAAATCAGAGTCAGAAAGAAAGCCACAGTGAAGTGTACCTGTGCAGCATACAACAGAACATTGAACAGGGATGTGAAGGGGAACCCCATGGCAATATTTATTGGCACTATGGGCACAATTCACTCCAGATTATCGCATGAATTAAGGCAGTCACATGAGCACATCTCGCATGCAATACTGAAAATGTCAATATGAAAAAGTGCAGCACTAATAAACAAATTAAATGTGCTATATCAGAGACTGGCCACACCCTCAAATAGACAGTATGAAGTCCATAGTCCATAGGAACAATGTCCGGTAAATGACAAATGGATGAAATGGTGACTTTGTTACTCCCAGAGAGGCACTCGTCAACCGTGTAGGAAATATAAGAAATGCGCACTCACCAGATGTGCATTAGGTAAGCGCAATATTAATAGCCAGAGGTCCCCTCTTATCATGTGGAAGGTGCAGTTCACACTGGACAGGCTGTCCCACAATACTGGCGCCTCGAGAGATCTTCTCTACTGGTGGAAGCTGTGATGGGGGTCAGCTTATATGAGTCACTCTCCTCTGGGCCTCAGGGTGGTCACCATATGGTCCTGGGGGGTTAAAATGCTCGATGTGGAGCAGAGAATAGTGGCCATAGTGTAGTAGGTCAAAATATAAATTCTTTTATTAATGGTTAAAAGTGATGAACATACATAAAAGCAAATGGAGGCTATCGCCAATTAAATGTAGACAAAGCATGCAGCACCCCTTCTGAGGATGCACTTTGTGTGCGAAACGTGTTAAGGAGGAGCCATACACGCCTGAGACGTCACACCACCGGATCAAGGAGGTCCGGTGGCCCCCATAACTATCCAGCTGGTCAGTTTTTCTAAATGGTTTATGAACGGTTTTGCTGCATGCTTTGTCTACATTTGTCATGCAAATCACATGCCAAGTCGCACTCAATGTGACCGCTATTAAAGCGTTCATATTGGTGTTGTTCAAACTTAGTTGGAGCCGCAACAATTTCTAAAGTAATGAATACACTACTTTACATGCAATTTGCAGAGAGATCAATGTCAGGTGCAATTTGGCATGCAAATCGCACACCAAGTCGCATCCAGGGTGCACAATTTCAGGTGCGATTTGGGAATTGTATCTGATATCGGATCTAATAAATGTGGATGTGAGTGTCTTAACATAAGCGATTTGCTGCAGCACAATTTCAAAAGTAGTTCTTGTCTAACTTTTTCTGCATTTTGTAGTGATTTCACATATAGACTACAATAGAAATTGCAATGCAAAACACAATTGAAAACGCAATAACTCGTTGGTAAATCTACAGAAAACATGGTGAAATTGCAACAAAAAGCACAATTTTAAATCGCATCTAGTGTGAACAAAGCAGGCAATTCAACAAAGGATATAAATCTTTGAAGGCATGCAGTATCTGCATGCTCGGAAAAGGGTATGTTATGGATTTGGAGGGGGACTTCATGCCATTATTTTATAAATTTTTTTTTTTTAAATCCTTCTCTCTCTCTCGGCTTGACAAATCCTTCCCAAAAGCGGGCGGAGTGCATACCAGCATTATCAAATCAATTATTAGTCCAGGCCCTTATCTCATCCCATCATTTGACATTCACATAAGGTACAGCTTTAAAGGTGTTTGAACAGACAAGGCCTCATTCTAATTCACATTCTAGGGATCATTTAGACAGTAGGCAAAGATGCTGCCACCAGCACATCTATGTTAGGGCAGCCACCCAGGAAGATCATACAACTTCATTGCCGTGGCTGGGATTCAAACCAACAACCCTAGCGCTGTGAGGCAGCAGTGCTAACCACTTATCCACTTCGCTGTCACACTAATTCAGCCTCTATTTCTGTGGTGTGAATCAACCCTAAGTCCCTGGGCAAGGTCAGTGTAACAAGCCAGATATCTCAAATGTGACACAAATGTTGTACTATGTTGCCAATTCAGATGTGTGTTGGTTCTATGTATCCCAATAAAAAGAATTACAATACTAATACAGGCGTACCTCGGTTTACCAACGCATCGGTTAACATAATTTTCGGTTTACGAATGAAAATCCATTGAAAATAATGCCATGGTTTACACAATTGTTAATATATAAAATTGTTTTCGCAATAAATTAAATGTCGGAGCTGATTTTTAAATGCAAATGCCGCCTTTTTTTTTCTTCACTATAGTTCACAAGCTTATCTATCACTTTCCCCGAAGTTACAGAAAACTTTGTATCTTTTAATAAACTAAAAGTAAACATTGTTTTCTTTAGGGATATAAACTTAAAGAAAACTTTCTCTTTTAGCTGGGGAAAGTGACAGCTGAATTTCTGAGCTATAGTGAAGAAAAAAAAAAAATGCGAGAATTACATTTAAAAACTGGCACCATAATAAATAAAAAAAGGCGTGGAGTCCCCCCTCCCATCCACACCAAGCCCTTCGGGTCTGGTATAGATTTAGAGGGGAACTTCCACGCCAAAATTAAGAAAATGGGGTCCCCCCCAAAATCCATGCCAGACCCTTATCCGAGCATGCAGCCCAGCAGGTCAGGAAAGGGGGGGGGGACAAGCAAGTTCCCCCCCCAAGCACCTTGGCCCCATGTTGATTGGATCAAGGGTCTCTTACCCACAAGACTGGCCGGTGGTTGTGGTGTTCTGCGGGCGGGGGACTTCTTAAATATGTAAGTTCTTTAATAAGACAGTTCTTAAATATATAAGGGGCGGGGCCACCCGGGCACATCATCCGAGTGACCCCACCCCATGTGACATCAATGATCTCACATGGGGTGGGGTCACATGCGTGATGTCCCCAGGTGGCCCCACCCCTTACATATTTAAGAACTGTCAACCAGGAACAGAACCTTTTTTTTCCTTTTTTTCGGGTCGGCGGCGGGCTTCGTGATTGACGTTGGATCTGCTTCAGGGGACATTCTTTTAGATTTTTATTTTATTAAAGGACTTGTCAAAGACAGTGTCCTGTCTTTTTTTACACTACACTTTTTTTTTTTTTTTTTGTGAATCAGTAGCAGTACCATGTACCCCATACTCATTCACGTAGGGGGTGCGGGATCTGGGGGTCCCCTTGTTAAAGGGGGCTTTCAGATTCTGATAAGCCCCCCGCCCGCAGACTCCCACAACCACCGGCTAGTGTTGTGAGGAAGAGGCCCTTGTCCCCATCAAACCCTTCGGGCCTGGTATGGATTTGGTAACATCTCTTAAATATGTAAGGGGCGGCGCCACCCGGGGACATCATGCATGTGACCCCACCCCATGTGACATCATTGATGTCACATGGGGTGGGGGTCACTTGGATGATGTCCCCGGGTGGCCCCACCCCTTATATATTTAAGAACTGTCAACCAAGCTCACAGCAGAGGGCTGGGCAGCCATCAGCCATCGTCGGGAACGGAACCTATTTTTTTTTTCTTTTTCGGGTTGCCGGCGGCGGGCTTCTTGATTGACGTAAAGGACTTGTCAAAGACCGCGTCCTGTCTTTTTTTACACTACACTTTTTGTTTTTTTGTGAATTAGTAGCGGTACCATGTACCCCATACTCATTCACATAGGAGGGGCGGGATCTGAGGGCCCCCTTGTTAAAGGGAGCTTCCAGATTCTGATTAGCCCCACGCACGCAGACCCCCACAACCATCGGCTAGGGTTGTGGGGAAGAGGCCCTTGTCTCCATCAACATGGGGACAAGGTGCTTTGGGGGGGTTTCCCCCTGCCCCAAAGCACCCCCCCATGTTGAGGGCATGTGGCTTGGTATGATTCAGGAGGGGGAGCGCTCGCTCGTCCCCCCCCCCCCCCTTTCTTGACCTGCCGGGCTGCATGCTCGGATAAGGGTCTGCTATGGATTTTGGGCGGGACCCCACACCATTTTTTTAAAAAATTTTGGTGTGGGGGTTACGCATTAAGATCCATACCAAACCCAAAGGGCTTGGTATGGATGGGAGGGGGGAGCCCACTCTGTTTATTTTTTTTTTTAATTGCCGACCTTTATTTTTAGATTTAGCTGTCAAAATATATATTATCTAGACCTTCAAAATATGTAAAACCATTACATAAATAATTATAAAGGATAAGAAACAAAAACAGAATCAATAGAACTAAGGAAATCAACTTAGAATACATAAAGATATGCCGAGCTACAAATAGTGCTGTTTGTCACACTGACAGCTCGAGAGGAGAGCCGGTAATCCCTCAGAGGGGACATCTACACTGACCATCAGAGAACTGATGATCAGTGTGCGCTGTTGATCAGTGTAGCCCCAGCAGTGCCACCTGTCAGTGTCCATCAGTGCCAGCTGTCAGTGCCCATCAGTGCCACATCAGTGCCACATCAATGCTACATATCAGTGCCTACCAGTGCACATCAATGCCACATATCAGTACCCATCTGAGCTGCCTTTCAGTGCCACCTATCAGTGCTGCCAATCAGTGCCACCTATCAGTGCCAGTCAGTGCCGCCTATCAGTGCGCATCAGTATCACCTATCAGTGCCGCCTATCAGTGCCAGTCAATGCCGCCAAACAGTGCCAGTCAGTGCCACCTAACAGTGCCAGTCAGAGCCGCCTATCAGTGCTGCCTATCAGTGCCATATATCAGTGCCTTTTAGTGCCCATCAGTGATGCCTTTCAATGCCCATCAGTGCCACCTACCAGTGCCTCCTCATCAGTGCCCATCAGTGCCACCTATCAGTGTCCATCAGTGCAGCCTATCAGTGCCCATCACTGCAGCCTCATTAGCGCACATCAGTGAAGGAGAAAAATCACTTATTTAAAGAATTTAATATCAAAAACTAAGAAAAAACTTTTTTTTTTTCAAACTTTTCAGTGGTTTTTGGTTTGTTTAAGAAAAAATAAAAAACCCAGAGTTGATTAACCACTTGCCTACCAGGCACTTATACCCCCTTCCTTACCAGGCCAATTTTCAGCTTTCAGCGCTGCCGCACTTTGATTGACAATTGCGCGGTCATGCAACATTGTACCCATATGAAATTTTGATAATTTTTTTCTCACAAATAGAGCTTTCTTTTGGTGGTATTTAATCGCCACTGGGCGCTTTACTTTTTGCGCTATAAATTTAAAAAAGTGCAAAAAATTAAAAAAAAAAAAAAAGTTTATTTGTTTCTTTTATAAAATTTTTCAAACAGGTATTTTTTCTCCTTCACTGATTTGCGTTGATGAGGCGGCACTGATGGGCACTGATAGGCGGCACTGATGGGCACTGATAGGCAGCACTAAAGGGCACTGATAGGCAGTACTAATGAGGTGGCACTGATAGGCGGCACTGATAGACAGCACTAATTGGGGGTCACGGATAGGCGGCACTGATATGCAGCACTGATAGGCGGCACTGATAGGTGACACTGATGATGGGTACTGATAGACGGCACTGACTGGCATCACTTCTGGGCACAACCCCTGGGCACTGACTGGTGGCACTGACTGGCAGCACTGCTGGGCTGCACTGGTGGGTGGCACTGGTGGGCAGCACTGGTGGGTGGGCACAGGTGGGTGGCACTGGTGGGCACAGGTGGGTGGCACAGGTGGGTGGGCACAGGTGGGTGGCACTGCTGGGCACATGTAGGTGGCACTTCTGGGCACAGGTAGGTGGCACTGCAGAGTGGCACAGGTGGGGGCACTGCTGGGCACAGGTGGGGGCACTGCTGGGCACAGGTGGGGGCACTGCTGGGAACGGGTGGGCGGGGCTAGTGGGCGCACTCCTGGGCGGAACTTGCGGGTGTCACTGCTGGGCACCGATCATCAGGGCACTGATCATCAGTGCCCTGATGATCGGTGCCGATCCCCGCTCTGACAACTGCCGGTTCTCGGCAGTACTTTCCTCACGATCTGACAGCGTGAGGAAAGTGCAGCCGAGAACCGGCACTTGCATTTCCCTGTGATCAGCGTGTCATTGGACACCGCTTATCACGTGGTAAAAGGCCGGTGGGATCGGCCTTTCACCACATCACGTGATCAGCTGTGTCCGTAGGACACAGCGATCACGGAGATCGCCGGGTGCGCGCCCCCTGGGGCGCGCAGGAGAGCGCGTTCTGGGAGGACGTCATATGACGTCCACTCAGAACTGGCCGGCCACGGTGAAGCCGTCATTCGGCTATGCGCGGTCGGCAAGAAGTTAAATACCACCAAAATAAAGCTCTATCTCTGTCAAAAAAATGATAAAAATTTCATATGGGTACCATACCGCATGACCGCGCAATGTTTCCTTTTACAGGGTAGATACAATGGACTTAGAATGGGGGTGAGAGTAGATTTAAACTTAGGTTTTGCTTGGAATTCCATCTTAAGGCAAATATGAATGCGCTATTAACCTGTTCCCAACTGGCCTATGGTAGAATGACGGCCAGGCGGGCCTCTCATCCCTCTGGGAGAATGTCATACAATGTCCTCCCGGTCACTCCCCTCATGCACAGCAAGATGATCCCAGGTCTGCTGTGTCCCATGGACACAACGCTTCTCCGATGAAGGTAAACCGCCAATGAAAACTGGCTGTTTACCATGTGATCAGTGTGTCCTATCACAGCTCATCACAAATGTAAACAAACAGCGGTAACTTGTTGTTACCGGCTTAGCCTCCTCACACACGATCGTGTGTGAGAAAAGAGAAGGGGGACAGTGAGTTACCAAATAGTGTACTGTACACCACACTGCCCTAAATGCTCTGTGTACACAGCAGCCCATCAGATCAGTGTACCTGTCACTAGCCCATCAGTGTACCTGTAGCCAGCCCATCAGATCGGTCTACCTGTTACAGCGGCCCATCAGCGTACCTATCAGCCCAACAGCGCACCTGTCGCCAGCCCATCAGTCTACCTGTCAGCACAGCTCATCAACGTACCTATCAGCACAGCCCATTAGTGTACCTGTCGCTAGCCCATCAGTGTACCTGTTGTACATCCCATTAGTCTACCTGTCAGGGCTCACGGTAAGACCAGAGATGCGTGAACTGACACAGGGAAACGCAGGCTCAAGTATGGTGTAACAATATAATTTATTAAAGGTTATACACAAATATATAAACGCACAATATAACAAAACCAAACCTCCAACTGATAACGGAATGTGCACAGACAAGAGCAGTCAGGGCTGGTGAGGTGGAGTGGTCAGGCGGGCCATGTCAGGAACCATCGGGCAGACAAGACACCAAAGGAGTAGGCAGAGCGTAGTCAGACGGGCCGGGTCAGGAACAATCAGGCAGACAAGGTACCAAAGGAGCAGGCTGGAGAGTGGTCAGGAATAGCCGAGGTCAGGACAGGCAGAGTTCATTCAGAGTCAGGATCAAAGCAGAATCAGGAATCAGGCAGGAAGCAGACAGGATGCAGGTACAGGGGCTCATGGGAAACATACACCAAGGCACTGACTGCAGGTCTGGCCATTCCTTAAATACACCTCCTGCAATCAGCCTCAGGTGATGGCTGATTGCAGGAGTGAGCTTCTGGTTGCTGAGAGCACCCGCTGGCCAGCCCTGGTACTGCAGCCCACAAGGCAGGTGAGTCCCACCACCATTGGCGAGTCCATTCCTGACAGTACCCCCCCCCTCAAGGAACGGCTTCAGGATGCTCCAAACATTCCTTAGTGGGCAAAATGTTCCACCGCCTGGGTCAGGTAACTGGCTGGATATCAGGGGCTGGCACATTAGGCTGGGCAGTGGGCGGAGGCACATCAGGCTGGGCAGCGGGCGGAGGCACATCAGGCTGGGCAGTGACCGGAGGCACATCAGGCGGGGCAGCGGCACCGGGCCATCAGGCGAGGCAGCGGGTGCCGGGCCATCAGGCGAGGCAGCGGGCACCGAGTCACCGGGCATGACAGCGAGCACCGAATCATCTGGCAGAACAGCGGGCACCGAGTCACCAAGCTCGACAGCGGGCACCGAGTCACCTGGCACGACAGCGGGCACCGAGTCACCTGGCACGACAGCGGGCACCGAGTCATCTGGCAGAACAGCGGGCACCGAGTCACCAAGCTCGACAGCGGGCACCGAGTCATCTGGCACGACAGCGGGCACCGAGTCACCTGGCACGACAGCGGGCACCGAGTCATCTGGCACGACAGCGGGCACCGAGTCACCAAGCTCGACAGCGGGCACCGAGTCACCTGGCACAACGGCGGGCACCGAGTCACCTGGCACGACAGCGGGCACCGAGTCACCTGGCACGACAGCGGCACCGAGTCACCTGGCACGACAGTGGGCACGAGTCATCTGGCAGAACAGCGAGCACCGAGTCACCAAGCTCGACAGCGGGCACCGATTCATCTGGCACGACAGCGGGCACTGAGTCATCTGGCACGACAGCGGGCACCGAGTCATCTGGCAGAACAGCGAGCACCGAGTCACGAAGCTCGACAGCGGGCACCGAGTCATCTGGCACGACAGCGGGCATCGAGTCATTGGCACGACAGCAGGCACCGAGTCATCTGGCACGACAGCAGGCACCGAGTCACCTGGCATGACAGCGGGCACGAGTCATCTGGCACGACAGCGGGCATCGAGTCATCTGGCACGACAGCGGGCACGAGTCATCTGGCAGAACAGCGAGCACAGAGTCACCAAGCTCGGCAGCGGGCACCGAGTCATCTGGCACGACAGCGGGCACCGAGTCATCTGGCACGACAGTGGGCATCGAGTCATCTGGCACAACAGTGGGCACCGAGTCACCTGGCATGACAGCGGGCACCGAGTCACCAAGCTCAACAGCGGGCACCGAGTCACCAAGCCGGACCACGGGCACCGAGGCACCAGGCCGGACCACGGGCACCGAGGCACCAGGCCGGACCACGGGCACCGAGGCACCAGGCCGGACCGGGTCATCAGGCTGGATCGGGTCATCAGGCTGGATCGGGTCATCAGGCTGGATCACGAACACCGGGTCATCAGGCCGGATCGGGTTCATCAGGCCGGATCGGGTCATCAGGCCGGATCACGAACACCGGGCCATCAGGCTGGATCGGGCCATCAGGCTGGATCACGAACACCGGGTCATCAGGCTGGATCGGGTCATCAGGCTGGATCACGAACACCGGGTCATCAGGCCGGATCGGGTCATCAGGCTGGATCACGAACACTGGGTCATCAGGCCGGATCGGGTCATCAGGCTGGATCACGAACACCGGGTCATCAGGCTGGATCGGGTCATCAGGCTGGATCGGGTTCATCAGGCCGGATCGGGTCATCAGGCGGATCACGAACACCGGGCCATCAGGCTGGATCGGGCCATCAGGCTGGATCACGAACACCGGGTCATCAGGCTGGATCACGAACACCGGGTCATCAGGCCGGATCGGGTCATCAGGCTGGATCACGAACACCGGGTCATCAGGCTGGATCGGGTCATCAGGCTGGATCGGGCCATCAGGCTGGACAACGGAAGGCGGGTTCTCAGACAGCAGGCTGACCGGTTTGGATACTGGTAGGATGGTACTGGTTGGAAAGAATTTTCGCTTCTTCTTGGGTTTAGTTACTGGGGCACTGCAAGTAAATGCAGGTCTGTAATTGGATGGAGTAGCTGGGGACAGAGAAGAGCTGGAGGGTGGAACAGAAGAGGGAATAGTTGTTACAGCGGCCTTTTTTACAGGGTTAAAGGCAGGATAGCTGCAGCGAGTGGGAACAGGGTACTGACATGTGGTAGATAGCAGGGTATATTGGGCTGTCACTGGGGGTGCTGTCGGGAATGCAGGAATAGAGCTTTGAGCAGAGGAATAATTAGAAGCAAGATGGGTTTGTTGCAAGCTGCCTGAGGCAGGGTGTAACAAGTCTGACCAGGACTGTAGTATTGGTTGAACAAAACTCCGCTTACACATAGCCTGTCTGACCAAAGACTGCACTGCATTTATACACTCCACAAGCACATGTGGTGAACATGCTGAATAATGTTCCCAGAAGCAATCCGGATCATCCTCCAACAACCATACCAGTGATTCTATTTGATCCACACTGAATGGTGGAAGAAAGTCATCCCTGCTTTCAGGGGTACAAGATGAAGCCAACTCAACACAAGCCTGAATCAATGGTTGCACCTCAGAGAACTCTGTGCCCTGATCTACTAGGGAATGAGCGACCCGTATGCATTCTAGCAGCTGATCCCTGGTATACTCCTGCAGAGTCTGATAGGCATATTCTCTGTCATCTAAGACAAGCAAATACAAGTATACCACCTCCTCAGGATGCATCCTTCCCAACAACAAGCCAAGATGGCTTCCCTGTGCAGCCACTTCTGGTCAGGAATGGCCTTGGTGTAATGTCAGGGCTCCCAGTAAGACCAGAGATGCGTGAACTGACACAGGGAAATGCAGGCTCAAGTATGGTGTAAAAATATAATTTATTATACACAAATATAAACGCACAATATAACAAACAAACCTCCAACTGATAACGGAATGTACACAGACAAGAGCAGTCAGGGCTGGTGAGGTGGAGTGGTCAGGCGGGCCGGGTCAGGAACCATTGGGCAGACAAGACACAAAGGAGTAGGCAGAGCGTAGTCAGACGGGCCGGGTCAGGAACAATCAGGCAGACAAGGTACCAAAGGAGCAGGCTGGAGAGTGGTCAGGAATAGCCGAGGTCAGGACAGGCGGAGTTCATTCAGAGTCAGGATCAAAGCGGAATCAGGAATCAGGCAGGAAGCAGACAGGATGCAGGTACAGGGGCTCATGGGAAACATACACCAAGGCACTGACTGCAGGTCTGGCCATTCCATAAATACACCTCCTGCAATCAGCCTCAGGTGATGGCTGATTGCAGGAGTGAGCTTCATGGTTGCTGAGAGCACCCGCTGGCCAGCCCTGGTACTGCAACCCACAAGGCAGGTGAGTCCCACCACCATTGGCGAGTCCATTCCTGACACTACCTGTCAGCACAGCCCATCAGCGTACCTGTCAGCACAGCCCATCAGTGTACCTGTCATACAGCCTGTCAGCACAGCCCATCAATGTACCTTTCAACGCAGCCCATCAATGTACCTTTCATGCAGCCCATCAACATACCTGTCAGCATTACAGTGATGTACGATTTAGTGCATCACATGACTCCCTTTCTTTTTTTTCTTTTTTTTTTTTAACAAACTTTATGTGATGTGTACAAAACGTACATTTCATTCACTGCAATGTCAAGCAGTGATATACACATTGCAGTGCGATTCAGGCAGGTGCTCTGTCATATCTGCACTTTAGCGCAGCACTAGACTGCTTGCAGTGTAAATGGGATACAATTGTTTCTTGTGTGTCCCTGCGGTGACAGATGTTTTACTATGTGCTAAAACATCTGTCACCTCACATAGTGTGAATTGGCCCTTATTTACAGTGAGTTCTCCCTTTTAGTGCCGATTCCTGTCTGTGTTCTGGTGTGAACAAGTGAAATTATACAATTTATTTACATTTCTGAGCTCAGGACAGAACACTTCCACACTGATACACTGTATACTTTTTGTACTGTCCAGTGCAGAGCTCCCCTCATTTTTGTTTTGTACATTCCTAAAATATTGACTGCCTGTACCATAAGATAAGAACTAAATGTGTGTGTTTTTGAGTGAAATTACTTTCCTGGTGCCTACATGGCATCATACTACCACATTTATGCTGCCATGGATTGGTACCAGAAAAGGAAACTTGCAGAAAGTATTTGACAAAATTTCTGTTTTCCTGGAGTCAACATCGCAGCCTGCATGTGGTAGTATACTGTGAATGCTGCCATGGATTGATGCCCAGAAGGGAAAATTAGGGTAAGTACTTTATATGATTTCCAGTTTTAATGATTTATCATTTTTTCTGTTTTTTGCTATTTTTACCTCACATTTTTAATGCATTTGAGGTATTTACCGCATACTTGTAATGCATTTGAGGTATATACCTAACTTTTTAATGAATTTGTGGTATTTCCTCATATTTTTAAAATGTTTGAGGTATTTATCTCACATGTTCAACAAATTTGTGGTATTTACCTCATAATGGGGCAACACAGTGGCCAAGTGATTTAGCAGCCTAGCAGCCTAGCAGCACTGGGGTTGTCAGTTTCAATCCCAACCATGGCACTTCCTGCCTGGAGTTTGCATGTTATCCCTGTGCCTGCTTGGGTTCCCTCCCACACTCCAAAGACATGCTCGTTGGCTAAGATTTGTCAGAAAAACCATTACTTTTCTTTCAGAATCAACATTTTCTATGGGGCACTATACTACAAAATAGTCCCACAAATGCAGGCCATTGTTAGCAAGATTTGTTAATTTGCACACACAAAAAAAGTATTTTTCCTAATAAATTCATTCAAGACCATGTTGCAAAAATGAATACACCCCAATGAAAAAACCAACTTTTACCCCTGGTTCACATATATGCGGCCGTGTTTTTTGCGTGGGCACGAGAGCCCATTCACTTGAATGGACTCTCCGTGCCCCGTGACACGTAAGGAAGAAGTCCCTGCACTTCTTCTGAAAATGCAGCCCTCGCGTCCGCATTCATCTGTGCGGGTGGTGCGGCTGCACGGATTTTTGTGCGGATCTGCAGTGGAATCACCCGCACACATGTGAACCCAGCCTTGGACAACAAAACCCTAATTAACAAGAATTCAACTACAGGTGAGTCTAATTATTCATTAAACAGGTGTCCAGCAGACAGTTGGTTTTACTTAACAAAGAAAACCCCTTCTCATTTCATGCTGTCAGCAATGGCACCACATGGAAGAGAAATGTCACAAGGCCCGAGAAAGCAAATAATCTTCTTACACAAGAAAGGTGAAAGCTACAAGAAGATCAGCAAATCTTTACTTTTCAGTCAGAATACTGTAGCAAAAGTGATACAAAAATTTAACAAGGATGGAACTGCAACCATCTCACAGAGACGTCCAGGATGTCCACGGAAGTTAACACCTTGACAAAAGCGTCTTCTGATGAGAAGTGTTCAAGAATATTGCCATGCAAGTTCACTGCATTTAGCTAAAGAAGTAGAAATCCAAACTGGGGTGATTGTTTCCCATGACACAATAGGGTGTACACTGCAGAGAAATGGCATGCATGGGTGTTTTCCACAATGGAAGCCTATCCTAAAGCCCTTGCACACAAAAGCCTGCCTTGAATTTGCCAGGGCCCATGCTGAAAAAAAGAAGACTCTGTACTCTGGAGTGATGAGACCAAGATAAATGTTTTTGGAACAGGTGGCTTCAAAACTGTATGGCATCGCAAAGGTGAGGAGTACACAGAAAAATGCATGGTGCCAACAGTGAAACATGGTGGTGGCAGTGTCCTTCTGTGGGGCTGCATGAGTGCTACTGGTGTCAGGGAGCTGCATTTCATTGATGGTATCATGAATTCACAGATATACTGCTCTATATTGAAAGAGAAGATGCTACCATCACTCTGTGCCCTTGGTCGTCGTGCACTTTTCCAACATAGCAATGATCCACAATACACGTCTAAGGCCACTGTTGCATTTCTGAAGAACAGGGTGAAAGTGATTCATTGGCCAAGTATGTCTCCTGATCTGAACCCAATCAAACACCTATAGGGAATTCTGGAGGGACAGGTTGAGCATCTCTCTCCATCCAGCATTCAGTCTCTAAAAGAAGTCGTTCTTGAAGAATGGAAAAAGATAGATGTTGCAATATGTCACCAACTTGTTCATTCCATGCCTAGAAGACTTGGTGCTTTCCTT